CGAGGCCGACGGGGCCACGTAGCGGTTCGGGTGGGGGGCGACGGGGGGCCGTGAAGGCGAGGGCCTTTTGGTTGACGAGATCGGCGAAACCGCCGAGCCGAAGGAACCCCATCAAAGCTTGAACGATGTGGCGGAGGAAGGGAAAAACCAAGAGGACGGGGGGGGGAGAAAACGAACACAGAGGACGAGGGATCGACAGTTGACGGCGCGTTCGGGCAACAGAAGGGCACCCAAGAGGAAACGGAGGATGAGGAAACTGAAGGGGGGGAGGGCGATCCAGAGGGGCTTGGGTCAGATATTCGAAATCGGCGGCGGGGCACAAGTCGAGCGCGCCCCAAACATCAGGGCACTCATGGCACGGTTGGTAAGGAGCGCGCCCCCGTCTTCGGCACCCCTGTTGAAGTACTTTCTGCCATCCGTCCCCCCCTTTTTGCTAGCGCGTTCGGGGGGGGGGCTTTGGGGGGCAGGGGGGATGGGCGCGCGGCGCGGCTCCCAGGACAAACACAACTAACAATACAGAAGGCCCAATGACGAAAAGTGAGCCCTGGTCTTCAGGGCGCGTGAAGCTGAAACCCGCTATTGCCACATGGCGTTCGGTTCGACGTTTTCGCCTGGTCCGATTAGCTCTAGAGTTGCGGCAGGGCCCCCGCCACCATCACCTAGAGAATGGCCGTTCGTCTTAGCGGGCGCCCCACGCTCTGCATATCGTTTGAGGCTTCTGGGGGGTGGGGGCGCGGCCTCACTGAAACAGGGCCCCCAGCCCCTCTCTGCCCCCGCGCAAGGGGGCGGGGGCGGGGGTGCAAGCTGAGGGCGGGGAGGGTCCGAGGGCGGGGCGTAGAGGATAACCTCCCCCGTTCACCCCACCCCCTTGTTCCCCTCCTCTCCCAACGATTATATGTATTGTTCCTGTTGCTCCTCTTCGCCCTGACCACCCCCCGTGCTCACCCAGCTGGTCCGATGCCTTTCCAAAGCGAACCTATCGCGAGCTAAGGTTTGCACCAAATGTCAGGAAACGCAATCAGACCCTCATCGGCCACTCATGCTTGCAAACGCTTTGCCGACATGAAATCCCACACGCAAGGTTCTTGTGTAGCTCCGGGGAAGCGCGGCCGAACCGCGCGCCCCGACCCCCCCGTGCGATCAAGGCCCGCGTCTACGATGGCATGCCCTTTTTTTGGGCAGGGTGGCCCACAGCCAAAACGTTCGCTGCGCAGCAAGCAGTCGAGCGCAGGCCGGCGTCTCTTACCTTACGGGCCATTGGCCCAGCTACCCAAGAAACCTCTTTGGCGCATGCATATGATGTGCCCCATTGGATTCGGGAGCCAATGAGGCTCTGATTGCGTTTCCTGACATTGGCGCAAACCTAGCTTGCGATAGGTTCGCTTTGGAAAGGCATCGGGCCAGCTACGGCGTGAAACGTAACTTTTTCGAAAAAAACAAAAAGTCGGTTCGAAAAAAAACACAAAAAACAACGATTCAGGATTTCTACAAATCCGATGCCTTAGTGGTGATGAAAAGATCTCAATAGTAGTAGTAGTAGTAGTAGTAGTAGTAGTAGTAGTAGTAGTAGGTAGTAGTAGTAGTAGTAGTAGTAGTAGTAGTAGTAGCAGCAGCAGTAGTCGTCGTAGTAGTAACAGTAGTTGCTGTTGTTGTAGTAGTAGTCGTAGGTAATACGTAGTAGGTAGTAGGTAGTAGGTGGTTGGTAGCATAGTAGGTAGTAGGTAGTAGGTAGTAGATAGTAGGTAGTAGGTAGTAGGTAGTAGTAGTCGTAGTAGTAGTAGTAGTAGCAGCAGCAGTAGTAGTAGTAGTAGTAGTAGTAGTAGCAGTAGTAGTAGTAGTAGTAGAAATAGTAATCGTAGTAGTAGTAATAATAGCAGTAGTAGTAGAGATAGTAGTAGTAGTACTTGTCGTAGTAGTAGTAGTAGTAGTAGTAGTAGTAGTAGTACTAGTAGTAGTAGTCGTAGTAGTAGTAAGATCGTCGTATTAGTCGTAGTATGTAAGTACTAGTAGTAGTAGTAGTAGTAGTAGTAAGTGGTGGTGGTGGTGTGGTGGTGGTTTGGTGATAGTGGTAGTAGTAGTAGTAGTATTAAGAGTACGTAGTCTAGTCAGTAGTAGTAGAGCAGTCTGTAGTAGTCGTAGTGGTGGCCTTAGTGTAGCAGTAGTAGTAAGGCGCAGTGTTTAGTAGTAGCAGTAGTAGTCGTAGTAGCAGTCAGTAGTAGCAAGTCCGTAGTAAGTAGTATGGTATAATAGTAGTAGTATAGTAGTAGGTATATTATTAATAATAGCAGTAGTTTCTTTTGCAATCATGGCAGTATTATAGTAGTAGTAGTATTAGTAGTAGTAGTAGTATAAGTAGTATTAAACAGTAGGTAGTACAGCAGAATAATAGTAAGTAGTATTGTAGTAGTATTAGTAGTATTATATAGTAGTATCGATAAAGCCGCAGCAGTAGTAGTAGGTAATTATTATTAGTATAGTAGTAGCAGTAAGTAGTCAGTATAGGTAGTACTAGTAGTAGTAGTAGTGGATGAATAGTAGTAGGATTTTATTAAGTCGTAGAGTAGTGTGTAGTAAGTAGTAGTACTAGTAAGTATAACTAGTAGTAGTACTAGTAGTACTAGTAGTAGTAGTAGTAGTAGTAGTAGTAGTAGTAGTAGTAGTAGTAGTAGTAGTAGTAGTAGTAGTAGTAGTAGGAATATTAATAGTAGTATTGTTAACGCTTCGCGAACCCCCACCAACCAATCTAGAAACGATGCCCAGAGGAATTGCCAAGATCAGGAAGTGGGCAGCACACAGAGGAAGCCATGATGAGACATTTTGGGGTATCTTGAGCCACCTAAGACGTCATTTTGGGTTCCCCCAGGCGCTCTTGGAGTCATCTTAATCAGTGCCCCCCCAAGAGGCCAACATGTGGCTAGAACCTTCGTAAAATCAGTGGTTTGGCATTCTCGCCGACGCCTCTTGGAGCATCTTGGGTGCCTCTGGGGGGTCGCTTGGGGCCTGTCGGGGATTTCTTGGGGACCTTCTGGGGGCCTCTTGGGGCCATCTTGGGGTTATCTTGGGACCTCCTGGGGCCTCCTGGGCGCTTCTTGGGGCCATCTTGGAGGAGATCGATCAAAACAAGAGGGGGGTCCTTACTTAGCGCCCCCCAGGAGGCCAACATGGGGCCAAAACCATTGTAAAACCAATGATTGGTGCTTCGTCGCCGAAGTCATTTTGAACGCCCCGACGACTCGCGAAACCCCATGTCCAGGTCCATGGGGAGGGGGTAGGGGGAGGGGTCAAGTTACCCCCTCCCCGCCCGCAAGCCGTCTCGCTCACTCCCACCCGCCCTCCCAACACATACGTAGCACCCGAGACTGGCCCGAGCCTGAGCATATTCAGCAGTCGTTTTGGGATGGACAGCTAATGGGGACCAATCTGGCGCCGCCGCCGCCGCCCCCCGCTGCCAAACCGCCGCCGCCGCCGCAGCCACTGCCGCCACCGCTACCGCCGCCGCCGCCGCCGCAGCCGCCGCCGCCGCCGTCGCCGCCGCCCCCCGCTGCCAAACCGCCGCCGCCGCCGCAGCCGCTGCCGCTGCCGCCACCGCCCGCCGCCGTGCCGCCCCCCCGCTGCCAAACCGCCGCCGCGCCGCAGCCACTGCCGCCCACCGTTACCGCCGCCGCGCGCCGCCGCAGCCGCCGCGCCGCCGCCGCCGCCGCCGCCGCCTCCGCCGAGCCGCCGCCGCCGCCGTCGCCGCCGCCCCCGCTGCCGAACCGCCGCCGCCGCCGCAGCCGCTGCCGCTGGCTGCGCCACCGGCCGCCGCCGCCCGCGCCCGCCGCCCCCGGCGCCGCCGCCGCCGCCGCAACCGCCGCAGCCGCAGCCGCCGCAGCCGCCGCCACCGCCGCCGCAGCCGCCGCAGCCGCCGCCGCCGCCGCCAAGTGCACGCTGTATTGTTTTTTGACAGGGATGGTGGGGGGGGCCGCATCGGGTTGGCTGCGCATGTTCCGAATTTGGAGGCAGAGTGTGTGTTTGTATTGTTTTTTACAAAGGATGGTGTGGGGGGGTCGGCATGGACCCTGGTTGGCCCCAAGTCGCCTGGGGGAGGGGGTGTTTATTAATAGGGAACAGTGATAAACCCCTCCCCGAAGGGGAAGAAGGAGGGGTGGAAGAGAAAACTCTCTAAACCACTGGCGCCCGGAGGGCCGGTGGGATTATTATCAGTATTATTATTCATATGTTTCTTCCTCCTCCTCCTCCTCCTCCTCCTCCTCCTCCTCCTCCTCCTATGGCGCCTCGCTTCCTGAGGACAAGCCCATTCGCCCTACCATCGTCAAGGCAGAGCTTGCTGGCTTCAGCGCCGACGCCGAGACATTCATCCCAGGGAAGCCGTTCTCCCAGGACCTGGACAGGGGCCGCGTGGAGGAATGCGACATCTCGAGCGAGGGGCAGTGCGAACCGTGCGAACGTTACGACAACCACCCCGACGCCGTCGAGGACAATTTTGACAACGGCCACGTGGAGCTGCAGGAGGGACGCTTCGACCCCAGCTTGGAGGACTTTTACGACACTGGTGGCCATTTTGAGCCGCCCACCGACATCATGCACGCTACTTCCGTGCCTTCCGACTGCGTCGACGACAAGTCCCGGCGCGAGGTCGTCAAGGCGCAGATCGAGGAGTCAACTCTCACCACCATCGGCGAGGAGAGGCTCGCGCGGCTCCGCAAGATGGGCTACTTCGCGAACGCAGTTTGAGAAGTCCTTCACAGGCTCTCTCAGCTTCACACGTCGGGCCAATGTCGAATACGAACGCTCCTGGAAAGGACTCGGCCTCGATTCCTGTTCGAGGCACTCTGTCTCGAACCAGCCGTCCCAGCCTCGCGCCTGCGGCGAGTAGGACTGTGGCGGCGCGGCGCAGCGGGGGTCCTCCTCTTTTTGACAGCAACGCCCACGCCCCTGAAGAATTCGCGAAGACCAAGTAGAAGACCAATCAAGTGTACGACAAGCCCTCCGCCGACCGACTACCACCACATCCCAGAGGCGCAGATGAAGAAGCAGCGACCGTGCAGCGAACCTCAAAAAGGTAAGCAGGGTGCACCCACGCTTCACGACAGACACCGAGAGCTCGATCGTGTAGGCCGGCTGCTGAATGCCCGCATGCCAGTAAGCCACACACAGCAAAAAAAACGCAAGGAAGCCACATTCAGCACATCACACATTAGCAAGCCCCAATCCCACGAACAGATAATGCCAAAGCCACCGAGACCTGCGATAATAACAGAAGCACAATGCTGTAGTATATCCGCTGCACGACTCAAAAAATTGTTCCAGCCACTCGTTGCAGGTACCCTCAGCCAAAGAGGCGCCCTTCGCCAGGGTCAGGGGGAAGGTCAACTGGGTGCCAAGCGAAGCGATCGAGCCGTTGGCGACGACGAACAAACGGCTGATCACATCTCCCCGATCTCTCCCGCGCCCAAGCGGCGACTCCCAGGTCGTACAGCTCGGAGTGCAGCTGCTCTAGCGGCACGAACGGGGCCACCTCCACGAGCGGCGGCGCCTCCGAGACAAAGATGGGATCCAGCTTAGCCTCCCGCATCTCGCTCTTCACGCACGTGCTGACCCCGACGTCGTGCCTGATGGCGTTGGGCTCGAGCAGAGCCTCCCAATTCTCGCATGGCTGCGGCACGTCCGCACGGCAGGACGAGAAGACTGTGGCACCGCACGTGCATCTGACGCCTGCGGCGTCCAGCCTCTCCCAGCTGCCCGCACCAGGAACGAGATCAGGAGCCTCCGAGAGCAAACAAGAAGACGCCGCCGAGGACTGCGAGCCGACAGAGCCGCGGCGCGCCCTCCCCCTCCGCGTCGAACGCCTGGCAGGGGCAGCCAGCTTCTCAGGGCCCAAGCGCGGCCCGCGCTGAGCAGCACGCAAGGCGGCGGCATCCGCGAGCACCAGCGACGGCACTCCATCGGCGGCGGAGTGGAGCGCGACGTTCCTCCGCAACCGGTCGAGCCAAGGCGGCTCCACTCCTTGAACGAGAGCGGCGAGGGCAGGGATGATGGCCTGAACTCTGTCGGCCACGCCGTGCACGCCGACCAGCATGTCCAGGGCGGCCTCCAGCTCCGCAGCCCGCGCGAGCGCCGCAGCGACGCCGGCATCACCGGCAGCCTCGGCACGCCGTCGCGCGGCGGTGCGCTCGGCCCGCGTCCGCGCACGCCAATGCGAACCGGGATCGCCAAGCGGCGGCGACCCCTCCCGCGCCATCCTCCGTGAGCCAAAAGCCCCCCTCCCCCCGTCCCACACGCCCGCCGCGTTGCCCCGTCAATCTGGGGTCGCAGGGTACGCCGAGGGGCAGGGTCCAGGAGGGGGGGGCCTACGGAAAGGCATGAGCCAAGCGGCTACGGACAGGGGTCCTCCTCCTCCTCCTCCTCCTCCTCCTCCTCCTCCACTCCTCCTCCTCCTCCTCACCCCCCTCCTCCTCCTCTTTCCCCCTCCTCCTCCTCCTCCTTCCCCCCCTCCTCCTCCTTCCCCACTCCTCCTCTCCTCCTCCTCCTCCTCCTCCTCCTCCTCCTCCGCCTCCTCTCCTCCTCCTCCTCCTCCTCCTCCTCCTCCTCCTCTCCCTTCCTCCTCCTCGTCTCCCCTCCTCGTCCTCGCCTCCTCCTCCTCCTCCTCCGTCCTCCTCCTCCTCCTCCCCCTCCTCCTCCTCTTCCTCCGCCTCCTCCTCCTTCCCCCCTCCTCCCTCCTCCTCCTCCCTCCTCCTCCTCCTCTCTCTTCCTCTCCTCCTCCCCCTCCTCCTCCTCCGCCTCCTCCTCCTCCTCCTCCTCCCTCCTCCTCCATCCTCCTCCTCCTCCTCCTCCGTCCTCGTCGTCCTCCTCCTCCTCCTCCTCCTCCTCCTCCTCCTCCCTCCTCCTCCTCCTCCTCCTCCTCCTCCTCCTACGCCTGCGCCCGCAGCTGCTCCTCGACGCCGCCGAGGCGGCCGGCACCCTCGGGGATGCGGTCCTTCTCCAATTGCTGCGCCAGCGTGCCGACGCGAGGCCGGAGCGCCTCCAGCTCCTCCTGCCGGGAGACTACGGCGCGTTCGTGTCGTGTCGACCCTGCCGTAGGAAGAGGAGGGGAGGAGGAGGAGAGGAGGAGGAGGAGGAGGAGGAGAAGGGAAGGAGGAAGGAAGGGAAGGAGGAAGGAAGGAAGGACGGAAGAAGGAAGGAGGAGGAAGAGGAAGGAGGATGAGGAGAAGGAGGAGGAGGAGGAGCGGAGGAGGAAGAGGAGGAGGAGGAGGAGGAGGAGGAGGAGGAGGAGGGAGCGAAGGCAGGACTGGGTTAAGTGGGACCTGGTTTAGTGATCTGTACTGGGGGACGCCCCCCCGTCCCATCCAACCAACAGGAACTGCCGTCGCCCGAAGCCTGGCGATGGTTTCTGACACCACGGGGATCGTTCAACCTTGAATGGTCGGCCGTTTCCGAAACGCCAGATCGTTCAGCATTGATCGATTCTGGGTCGACGGCGGCGTTCAAAGTTGAACGCTGGCGGCGGGGTCGCCGCCGGTCGACACGACGCGAACCTACCGTTCGAGCTTTTACGCCGCAGCGCGGCAGAGGCAGTCCGAACGCGCGCTCGGGCGGTCCTGGAAGCGGTAGACGCTGATGGTCCGGTGGCAAGTGGCAAGAGGGGGAGAGGGGGGTGGGCGGGAGGGGAAAGGCAAAAGCCGCCGCGGGAGGAAGAAAGGGACGAGGGAGGAGAAGGAGGCGGAGGAGGAGGCGGAGGAGGAGGAAGACGAGGAAGGGGAGGAGGAGGAGGAGGAGGAGGAGGAGGAGGAGGAGGAGGAGGAGGAGGAGGAGCGGCGGGTGCGGCCAGCCAGTGCTGCATCACCTCGGCAATGGGCGCGGGGGCGGCGTCGCCGGAGAGACTGCAGTCATCCCGTATGATACAGGCCTCGGAAGAAATTTGCGAACACTCCTGCCGCATTTATCTGTCAATGCCCCCCCAATGATCAATGTTGGCGGTGGGGTGAACGAGCTGCACTTCGTCCGCAGGCTTCCCCGCGCGCGCCAACTCTGAGCCTGGGGGAGCGGGGGAGGGTCCACTAATTGTTTTCCTCTACCGTAAGGACGCCCGACATCGGCAGCGAGCGAGGGGGGGGAAGTGAGAAGGAGAAGGTCTTCTCAGAAGGCGGCGGGACTCCTCAGAGGCCCTTGCGCATTCTGAGGAGACTTCTGTGTCTTCGGGCAACGCTTAGAAAGCTTCTCAGAAGGCCGGGAGACTTCCGAGCCTTCTGAGCAGGTCTTCTCCTCCTCACCTCCCCCCCTGGGCTCGCCGCCGACGATACGGATGCAAGGGCCTTGGAAGGCCATGTCGACACTTTGCTGGCGGAGCGCGGCCACCAGGAGCGGCCAAGGATGGGCCGACGGGGGAGCATGCAAGGGGCAGCCTGGGAAAGTTCCTCATCCTTCCTACGCGGGTTGGCTGCACCCCAAGAGGCCCCCAAGAGGCCACCAAGACGGCCCCCAAGAAGCCCCAAGAGAGACCCCAAAAGAGGCCCAGCCCCAAGACGGCCCCCGAGAGGCCTCAAAACTGCCCCCAAAGGCCCCCGAGAGGCCCCCCACGAGACCCCGACGAACACCCGATAGGCTTTACACCCACAACCCAGGCACGGTGGCGGGATGGGCCGAAGGCTGTAAGATCCGCCGCCCCCTGTCGATTCATCGCAGGGGTGCCGGGCGTGCTGGACTTCTTAGGGTTTGGTTTTACCTCTTTTTCCAAAAGAACTCCCCCTGGGGCTCCCGCACGTCCGGCCGGCCACCCGTAAAGCGCGTCCGTCGATGCCTGAAACGGCCGTTTCGCTCGGGACATCCTCAACTAATCGCGAAGATGGCCCAAGATGGCCTCCAAGTCCGTCCAAGATGGTCCAAGATGGCCCAAGACGGCCCAAGAGGCCGGGCCTTCCAGACGGCCCAAGAGGCCTCCAAGAGGTCCTCCAGGAGGGCCCGAAGAGACCGAAACCATTGATTTTTCATATGTTTTTGAAGAATTTTGGAATTTGCTTCTTCTCGGCATTCCGGCGGCTCAAGACTGCCCAAGAGGCCCCCAAGATCGCCCAAGAGGCCCCCAAGAGGGCCCCATGACGGCCCAAGTGGCCTCAAAGATGGCCCCAAGAGGGCCCCAAGACGGCCCAAGAGGCCTCCAACACGCCCAAGATGGCCTCCAAGACGCCCAAGATGGCCTCCAAGACGGCCCCGAAGCGCCCCAAGAGGGCGCCCAGTCGGCCCAGAAAGGCCTCCCAAACGGCTCCCGACAGCGTCAGACGTGCCAGAAACCCACCAAGATGGCCGAAGTTGGCTCGAAGCTGGCCCAAGACGGCCCAAGGGTCCCCCAAGAGGGCCTCCAGGAAAGCCAGAAAAGGCCAAAAACCTTGATTTTCCGCAAGTATTCGAAGGACGTTGACATTTCCTTCTTTTCGGCCTTCCGACGGCCCAAGACGGCCCAAGAGCCCCCAAAGATCGCCGAAAGATCGCCCAAGAGGCCCCCAAGATGGCCCCGGAACGGCCCAAGAGGGCCCCAAGACGGTCCCAAGAGGCCCCCAAGACGGCACAGGAGGCCTCTAAGACGCCCAAGATGGCCTCCAAGACGGCCCTGGAGCAGTCCAAGACGGCCCCCGAGAGGCCTCAAAACTGCCCCCAAAGGCCCCCGAGAGGCCCCCCACGAGACCCCGACGAACACCCGATAGGCTTTACACCCACAACCCAGGCACGGTGGCGGGATGGGCCGAAGGCTGTAAGATCCGCCGCCCCCTGTCGATTCATCGCAGGGGTGCCGGGCGTGCTGGACTTCTTAGGGTTTGGTTTTACCTCTTTTTCCAAAAGAACTCCCCCTGGGGCTCCCGCACGTCCGGCCGGCCACCCGTAAAGCGCGTCCGTCGATGCCTGAAACGGCCGTTTCGCTCGGGACATCCTCAACTAATCGCGAAGATGGCCCAAGATGGCCTCCAAGTCCGTCCAAGATGGTCCAAGATGGCCCAAGACGGCCCAAGAGGCCGGGCCTTCCAGACGGCCCAAGAGGCCTCCAAGAGGTCCTCCAGGAGGGCCCGAAGAGACCGAAACCATTGATTTTTCCTATGTTTTTGAAGAATTTTGGAATTTGCTTCTTCTCGGCATTCCGGCGGCTCAAGACTGCCCAAGAGGCCCCCAAGATCGCCCAAGAGGCCCCCAAGAGGGCCCCATGACGGCCCAAGTGGCCTCAAAGATGGCCCCAAGAGGGCCCCAAGACGGCCCAAGAGGCCTCCAACACGCCCAAGATGGCCTCCAAGACGCCCAAGATGGCCTCCAAGACGGCCCCGAAGCGCCCCAAGAGGGCGCCCAGTCGGCCCAGAAAGGCCTCCCAAACGGCTCCCGACGGCGTCAGACGTGCCAGAAACCCACCAAGATGGCCGAAGTTGGCTCGAAGCTGGCCCAAGACGGCCCAAGGGTCCCCCAAGAGGGCCTCCAGGAAAGCCAGAAAAGGCCAAAAACCTTGATTTTCCGCAAGTATTCGAAGGACGTTGACATTTCCTTCTTTTCGGCCTTCCGACGGCCCAAGACGGCCCAAGAGCCCCCAAAGATCGCCGAAAGATCGCCCAAGAGGCCCCCAAGATGGCCCCGGAACGGCCCAAGAGGGCCCCAAGACGGTCCCAAGAGGCCCCCAAGACGGCACAGGAGGCCTCTAAGACGCCCAAGATGGCCTCCAAGACGGCCCTGGAGCAGTCCAAGAGGGCCCCGAGGCGGCCCATAGGGGCCCCCCAAACTGCTTCCGACGGCGTCAGACGAACCAGGAGCCCACCAAGACGGCCGAACATGGCCCCAAGATGGCCCAAGACGGCCCAAGAGGCCTCCAAGAGGGCCTCCAGGAAAGCCCGAAAAGGCTAAAATTATTGATTCCCCACAAGTGTTTGAAGGATTGTGGCATTTGCTTGTTTTTCGGCCTTCCGACGGCCCGAGTGCCCCCAAAGATCGCCCAAGAGGCCCAAGACACGGCACCAAGAGGCCCCCAAGACGGCCAAAGAGGCCTCCAAGACGCCCAAGATGGCCTCCAAGACGGTCCAGCCCTCCAAGACGTCCTCCAAGAAGACCCGAAAGGGTCAAAATGGCCTCCAGACGGCCAAGATGACCTTCAAGATGCTCACGTGTTCCCCGAAGGCTTTCCAAACCGATTCGGAGAAGACATGGTCCGATAGCTTGGCAGGTCTGGCCTCAACGTTCGGCCACATAGGCGCTTCCAAAAAGGCAGGGGGCGGCGGTGATTCGCCGTAGGCGTCTTCGATCCGCCGCCCCCTTTTGATTGATCAAAGGGGTGCCTGGCGTGCCGAACTATCATGGTTTTGATTTTGTTTTTTCCCCAACCATCCTGTGGTGTTGGGTCCTCGTTTTGAAGAGACGGTGCCCCGCGTCTCTCCTTCCTTCCTTCCTCCTCCCCCTCCTCCCCCCTCCTCCCCCTCCTTGCCCCTGCACTCGGCACACCTCTCACACATTTCGTAGCCCCATAGGGAACTCCACCGAAGGCACCAGTGGTTGCTCTCGCATGCGTTTCCCCCACCCTGGGCAGCGCTTCGTGGCCCCCATAGGGAGCTCCACCGAAGGCACCAGTGGTTGCTCTCGCATGCGTTTCCACCACCCTGGGCAGCGCTTCGTGGTCCCATAGGGAGCTCCACCGAAGGCCCCAGTGGTTGCTCTCGCATGCGTTTCCCCCAGCCTGGCCGGCGTTTCGTGGCCCCATAGGGAGCTCCACCGAAGGCCCCAGTGGTTGCTCTCGCATGCGTTTCCCCCACCCTGGGCAGCGCTTCGTAGCCCCATAGGGAGCTCCACCGAAGGCCCCAGTGGTTGCTCTCGCATGCGTTTCCCCCACCCTGGGCAGCGTTTCGTGGCCCCATAGGGAGCTCCACCGAAGGCCCCAGTGGTTGCTCTCGCATGCGTTTCCCCCACCCTGGGCAGCGTTTCGTAGCCCCATAGGGAGCTCCACCGAAGGCCCCAGTGGTTGCTCTCGCATGCGTTTCCCCCACCCTGGGCAGCGTTTCGTGGCCCCATAGGGAGCTCCACCGAAGGCCCCAGTGGTTGCTCTCGCATGCGTTTCCCCCACCCTGGGCAGCGTTTCGTAGCCCCATAGGGAGCTCCACCGAAGGCCCCAGTGGTTGCTCTCGCATGCGTTTCCCCCACCCTGGGCAGCGCTTCGTGGCCCCATAGGGAGCTCCACCGAAGGCCCCAGTGGTTGCTCTCGCATGCGTTTCCCCCACCCTGGGCAGCGCTTCGTGGCCCCATAGGGAGCTCCACCGAAGGCCCTAGTGGTTGCTCTCGCATGCGTTTCCCCCACCCTGGGCAACGTTTCGTAGCCCCGTAGGGAGCTCCACCGAAGGCCCCAGTGGCTGCTCTCGCATGCGGTTCCCCCACCCAGGGCAGCGTCGCGTGGCCCCATAGAGAACACCGAAAGCGGCACCCACAACGCGTTACGAAAGCCAGGATAAGTTTCCTTCGCCAGGATAAGTTTCCAAAAGAACTCCCCCTGGGGCTTCGGCCCGTCTCGCCGGGGTCCCGGGAGATTCCCGAAAATCCGTCCGTCAATGCCTTTGTTGCCCCAAGTTGGCCCAAGATGGCCTCCAAGACGGCCAAGATGGCCCATGATGGCCTCCAAGATGCCTCCAAGACAGCCAAGATGGTCTCAAAGACGTCTAAGATGGCTCCAAGATGCACCCAAGACGGCCCAAGATGGCCTCAAGATGGTCTACGACGGCCCAAAAGGCCCGCAAGAGGCCTCCAAGACGGCCCAAGAGCCCTCCAAGACGTCCTCCAGGAAGGCCCGAAAGGGCCAACATCATTAATTTGTCCTACGTGCTTGAAGGATTTTGGCATTTGCACCTTTTCGACTTTCCGACGGCCCAAGACGGCCCAAGAGGCTCCCAAGATCGCCCCAAGATCGCCCAAGAGGCCTCCAGGATGGTCCCATGACGGCCCAAGACGCCCCCAAGACGGCCTCAAGAGGGCCCCAAGATGGCCCAAGAGGCATCCTAGACGCCCGAGATGGCATCCAAGACGCCCAAGATGGCCTCCAAGACGGCCCCGAAGCGCTCCAAGATGCACCCAAGACGGCCCAGAAAGGCCCCCAAGACCGCTCCCGACGGCGTCAGACGTGCCAGGAACACACCAAGATTGCCGAAGTTGGCTCGAAGCTGGCCCAAGACTGCCCAAGAGGCCCCCAAGAGGGCCTCCAGGAAGGCCAGAAGAGGCCCAAAACATTGATTGTCCTAAGGTTTTTGACGGATTTTGACGTTTGCTTTTGTTCGGCCTTCCGACGGCCTGAGACGGCCCAAGTACCCCCAAAGATCGCCGAAAGATCGCCCAAGAGGCCTCCAAGATGGCCCCAGAACGGAGGGCCCCAAGACGGCCCCAAGAGGCCCCCAAGACGGCCCAAGAGGTCTCAAAGACGCTTAAGATGGCCTCCAAGACGGCCCACGAGCCCTCCAAGACGTCCTCCAAGAAGGCCCGAAAGGGTCAAGATGGCCTCCAGACGGCCAAGATGACCTTCAAGATGTCCACGTGTTCCCCGAAGGCTTTCCAAACCGATTCGGGGAACACATGGTCCGATAGCTTGGCAGGTCTGGTCTCAACGTTCGGCCACGTAGGCGCTTCCAAAAAGGCAGGGGGCGGCGGTGATTCGCCGTAGGCGTTTTCGATCCGCGGCCCCCTGCGGATTCATCACAGGGGTGCCCGGCGTGCTGAACCCTTTCGGTCTTGGTTCTGGTTTTTTCCAAAAGAACTCTCCCTGTGGCTTCGGCCCGTCCTGCCGGCCACCCGAAAGGTTGCCGAAAATGCCCAGGTGGTTCCCCCTGTCGCGTCCAAGACGGCCAACATTGCCCAACATAGCCTCCAAGATGCGTCTAAGACGGCCAAGATGGCCTCCAAGACGAGTAAGATGGCTCCAAGATGCCTCCAAGACGGCCCAAGATGGACCAAGAGGCCTCCAAGAGGTCTCCAAGACGGCCCAAGAGGCCTCGAAGAGGTCCTCCAGGCTTTTCAAGGACGGCCCGAAGAGGTCAAAATCATTGATTTTCCGTTGGTTTTTGAAGGATGTTGGCTTTTCCTCCTTTTCGGATCCCGACGGCCCAAGACTGCCCAAGCGGCCCCCAACATCGACCCAAGAGCGCCCAAGAGGCCTCCAAGATGGCCCCATGACAGCCCAAGAGGCCCCAAAGAGGGCCCCAAGAAGGCCCCAAGACAGCCCAAGAGCCCCCCAACAAGCCCCAGATGGCCTCCAAGACTGCCAAGATGGCCTCCAAGATGCCTCCAAGACGGCCAAGAAGGCCTCTAAGACGGCCAAGATGGCCCCAAGATGTACTCAAGACGGCCCCAGAGACTGCCTGAAGATGGCCTTCGACTGCCCAGAAGGCCCGCCAGAGGCCTCCAGAACGGCCCAAGATCCCTCAAAGGCATCCGCCAGGAAGGCCCGACATGGTTAAAATCATTGATTGTCTGAAGGTGTTTGTAGGATTTGGGCGTTTGCTCCTTTTAAGCTCTCAAACGGCCCAAGACGGCCCAAGCGGCCCCCAACATCGACCCAAGAGCGCCCAAGAGGCCTCCAAGATGGCCCCATGACAGCCCAAGAGGCCCCCAAGAGGGCCCCAAGAAGGCCCCAAGACAGCCCAAGAGCCCCCCAACAAGCCCCAGATGGCCTCCAAGACTGCCAAGATGGCCTCCAAGATGGCCAAAATGGCCTCCAAGACGGCCAAGATGGCCCACGATGCACCCAAGACGGCCCAAGATGGCCTCAAAATGGCCTAAGACGGCCGTATAAGCCCGCAAGAGGCCTCCAAGACGGCCCAAGCGCCCTCCAAGACGTCCTTCACGAAGCCCGAAAGGGCCAACATCATTGATTGTCTTATAGTGCGTGACGTATTGTGGCATGTTCTTCTTTGCAGCTCTCCGACGGCCCAAGACAGCCCAAGAGGCCCCCAACATCGACCCAAGAGCGCCCAAGAGACATCCAAGATGGCCCCATGACAGCCCAAGAGGCCCCCAAGAGGGCCCCAACAAGGCCCCAAGACGGCCTAAGAGGCCCCCAAGACGCCCAAGATGGCCTCCCAGACGGCCAAGATGGCCTCCAAGATGCATCCAATACGGCCAAGAAGGCCTCCAAGAAAGCGAAGATGGCCCCGAGATGCACCCAAGACGGCCCGAGACAGCCTGAAGATGGCCTTCCACTGCCCAAAAGGCCCGCCAGAGGCATCCAAGACGGCCCAAGACCCCACTAAGACATCCTCCAGGAGGCCCGAAGGCTCGGAAACCACCTGGTCTGATAGCTCGCCCGACTCAGTGTTCCCCGAAGGTTTTCGACACCCACTCGGGGAACGCCTGGCCCGATAGCTTGGCCAAGCTCAAAACCAACTTTCGACCACGCAGGCGCTTCCAAAAAGACAGGGGCGGCGGTGATTCGCCGTAGACACCTTCGATATGATCAACAAACCCATCGCTCAAGACATCAGGGCCAGCTTCCAGGAAATGTCTTAAGACAAGCCTGGGCCAACTGCTTCTGTGAACGCTGGAGGGGAGAACATGCGCTAGAAGCTGGGCCAGCTTTCCAGCAAGTTGGCGAAGGAACGCTTGCCCAGCTTTCTGGGAGGAGGCTTCTTACTCGGATGCTCGACTGTACTTGGATCGGCGCGAGAGGTGCTAGGATTAGGTCGGGCATTTTGGGCGAAAAATGAAAACCTATCCCAAAAATCTTCAAATGTTGACAAACTCGGCAAAAAAAGAAACAACAACAAAAAAAGTCCCCAGACTATGTTTTTGACTATTTTGAACATTCCCCCTGTAGAGGGACACCCAACTTCATGCTAGGGGGATACGGGGGATCTCAGTGGCTGCCAGGGTGGGTCACATTTCGCCTGACCTAGCAGATAAGTGGGCTACAAGGTGCCATAAGCGGCTCAGGGAGGTTCACGATCGGCGACGTCGGCAACGCAATCGGCGCCGTCGGCGCGGCGAAGATCAGGCTCCACGTCGGGCCGCATCGCCAGTGCATCGGTGATGCGGAGCTATCATCCGCCTCCTTCTGCTCTAAGACCTCTTGGAGGCCCGGAGGGACGCCAGGCCCTAGCTTGGAGGAATCGAGCTTGCCTGACGTTGGAGGCCTGGAAACATGCACCAACACCGACACAGGGGGGGGTGCCTCCACAGCGGAAGGTGATCCTAGATTTCGATGCTGGTGATAAAATTTCGGTCACCCTGGAAGCCAGAATATTACCACCATCACCGAGATCGGGATCTTCTTCCCTCGGTGGCAGCACACCGCCGATATTGGTGTTGGTGTCAACCTCTAGGCCTGCGATGACGGGGCCGTCAGAAGAATGGCGGAACCTCGTCTGGAATCTGGCGCGACCTGGCGCTGCCAGCATCCGACGAAGAACGGACCGCCAGAGTCCACGCCAGGCCAGGACCACCCGAAAGCGGCGGGCAAGCCCAGATCCTGACAAACTCAAGCCGCAAGCCCTCCTACCCCACCAGTGCAGGTCAGACTTCTGAAAAACCCAACCGGCTGGAGTTCCGAACTCGGAGGACGTCTGCAGCGGGGCGATCCCCCGCGGCGGCCTCCGAGAACGGCCCCCGCGTGCTCTGGACCCGCAGGGGTAGGAGGTAAGGCTCGCAGAATTGGTCGCAGAACTTGTTGTCCAGGATCCTCGAGTGACTGGTGCTTGAGCTCCATCGACTCGCGCAAGCGCCGGAGCTCGTCCCCACTGAAGTTCATTCTGTCCGTCACGGTCCTCAGGATATCCTCCTTGAGCTCCCGGAGGTCGCCGAGCTTGGCCCGCCCGTTCACGTCCTGCAGCACGGCGGCAAGCCTGTCGTCGGTCGAGTTCCCGCTGTCCTGCGGAGCATCGTGTAACCAATCCCTCTCCCCACTGGCGTGGCCTTGGTCCCAATGGCCGACTTACCGGCTTAGGTGGGGATATATGTATACATATACATATATATATATATATATATATATATATGTATATATGCACACCTGTTCCTCCGAGTTTCGCGGAGACTATCCCCACCCACGAGGGTGGCCTGATGGGCTGGTGGGGCTGAGATACCATGGCCAGTGGAGATAGGGACAGCTTAGGCGATGCTGACCTGCAGCTTCTCCATGCTGACCTGCATCTTCTCCATCCTCTCGTGGATAACCTCCAGGTCGACCTCCTTCGCGTATCCCTGCTGCAGCACCCACTCCCTCATCGACAGCACATCGATTAGCTGAGACTGCGTGTCCGCGGCCGGCACCAAATCCCGGTCTGGCGCCGCGACTGTGACCTTCGGTTTGGGCGGCTCGGGCTCGGCGGACTCCTCGTCGCTCGCCTCAGGCGAAGCCTTCTTCCGGGCCTCAGGGGAAACGGAAGGATACCCACACCGCCACTCCACGGACCTCTGGGATGCGTTCCGACCAAGAATTGTGAAGCGAATCCAGCCGTGGCGACGAGGGGAGGTTCGCGGTATCGGTATACGTTTCTCCTCTGCGCCTTGGCGTTCGACCTGGCAATGCTGGCCTTGGCTGCCGCCTGGAGGTCCGCTATCGAGCTCTGGTCCCTCTGCGCCTGCGCCTCCAGCCTTCTTCGGAAACTCATGGGAGCCTCCCATACCATATGGCTGGCTCTTGCGAACCCACACCAATCGACGCGAATCGACGCCATAAATCGACGTCAATCGACGCTAAATCGGCGCTGCCCCATCGATTGCCAGACGCCCATCGACGCCAATGCAATCTGAAGACGGCGTTGCGAGGGTACGCATGCCGCACATGCTCTTGCCACTGAGCCAGCCTGCCGATGCGCTCGGTCAGGTGGGCCAGCTCGGCCTCGCGGCGCGCCTCGGACAACGTCACGTCCTCCGAGAACTTGTCGGCCGTGGCGTGCATCGCCTGCACCGCGGACATCAGCCACTGCACCGTGGAAGCGAGGACGCCGAAGGAGAGGTCTGCCAGCGATCCCCACGGCCTGAGGCCGCGAGTCCGCGCCCGGATGACAGGAGGAAACCAAGCACACACAGTGAAAACGTTTATTCCTTTTCCTCCTCCTCCTCCTCCTCCTCTTGCCTCTTGCCTCTTGCGTCTTGCCTGACTAGAAAGGGCGGCGCCCACATTGCGGAGCCCATGTGTTAAAAGTTGGACTGGCCCATCAGATTGCGTCACCCAGCGACTGGGCTGCAGTCCACCCAGCCAGTGAGCCGCGACAGGGCCCCCTCCTCAAAACTAGAAAGACGCTGCTGGGGGTGAGAGCTCCAACTGGGGTGCAGGCTCGGGCAAGGCCTCGATGTCCCTCGGGGTGCCCCATGCTTCCAGCGCGTTGATCACTTGACCCCATGCTCCGAGACCTTATCGAGACATGATTCTGGAAGTTCGGTAAAGGTCGTGGCAGCATAACTCCCACAAGCACGGCACCAAAACATCGTTCGAAATCTTTGGAGGTGACGGCGGGACGGGTGAGTGCGAGCAAGGAACCCCGGGCGCCCGGAGCGGAGCCAACACTCCGCTGCCCCCGTCGGAAACGCGAGGCATTTGGAACACAGCAGAGCTCTGCTGCTCGGAAACTCAACGAGGCCATGCGAGGTGGACGACACGAGCCCGAAGGCCTCTCGTTTGGCAGCTTTCCGTCGATTGCCTTCACGCAGCCTATCCTCGGCACTGCTGGCGCCATCAATTTGCACAGCATCCACGGCAATGTGGTATGATATGGTCAGAATATGCTCCTGGACTCGCATGCTGAGCGAACCCACGCAAATGACTTCTGCAATGGCCCAGCCAGGGAGTTGGGTTTCCTTGGCCGCTTCCTCCGCAAGTCTATCCGCCACAAAAGTTGGCCGCCCACAACTCAAAACGGCTTTGGCTGACTAAAACTGCATCTGGCGCAGCCTCATGGGACTTGATCTTGACAGCGCGCACGCGACGACCCCCACACTCTTGCCAGAACAAGCCCTACAAGTTGGAATCCTCAGCACGACGGCAGCGGGGGCCCGACTTCATCCCGCAGACCACCGAATCATTGCCGCCAATAAGAATGAGACTCCCTTCCGTCCGCCGAGCCGAACGAAAGCGCGCCCACAACTCAGACAAGGGGGCTGTTTGCTCGTTGGCGGGGCGAAGCCCGCCCCGGGACATTCCCCCCGAGGCAAACGGCCGCCCCCCACCCGCGTTTCCGATGCCTAGGGTCGGACGAGTAGGGGCCCCCAGAACCGTCGCTTCCGACGTAGGCCCCTCGGGGGACACAAAACTCGTCTCCTTGCGGCGAGGGGGGCAGCACCCCTGAACGTTCAAGGCCCAGGTCAAAGGCGCGAGCCCGCGGAGCCAGAGGCGCGCCTCATCTCGGCACACCTCGCGCGCCTCGGCCCGGAGATCCCAGCGCAAACCTTCTTTCGGGAGCCCGCGATTGCAGCGGCATTCCCAGTGCTGGCGGGAAAGCATTTCTTCGCACTCGCTGCGCATGGGACACGCGTGAGAACTCCACGCTTCCACGCTGGGCGGGGCGCTGTGGAGCGGGGTCCGGTCGGCCTCCTCGTCGGGCGGGGAGCCCTCCACCTCCGAAGGGGGCCCCCCCCGTCCAAGGGGCCCCATCCGGGGCCATCGAAAGAGTCGAGAACCTGCGGGGGCCCGGGGAGGTCTTGAGAGGCGGGGGCAGCAGCAGCAGCACGGGGGGGGGCCCACCGGCAGGAGAGTCGGCTGAGTGGGAAGGGCCTATATTGATGCCCCCGCGGCTTTCACTGCCAAAACGCCTCGCTGCTGGCCACAGCGCACCCGCGGCCGCCATTCTTAGAACACCTGCTTTGTCGCATTCCTTCTGACGCCTGAGGGTATTCCGCATTAAAACAGCGAAATCAGTTCCGCCCCGCGCACCTTCGCCACGCGCGCGGGAGCCGGATGGCAGCGCGCGTCCAACATTCGTGACTCAACGCTTGCTTGATGTCAAACTTCAGCAGGTGCTCTATATCGCGACTGGCCCAAGGGGCCCCCAATGGAGGTCCAGAGGACAAGCGGCGACAGCGCCGATCCAACCTTTTACTCGAGCCCAATGTCTGCCAGCGGCCTGCTAATGGGCGACCGTCTTCCGCCAGGCGATTCCAGCGGCGCGCACGCGGTCGGGCACGTGGGGCCAAGACGCGAAAACCTGCATTCTCCCCTGGAGCATGGGACCATCTCTTTTTTTTTTTTTTTTTTTTTTTCAAAGCCGAGTCTTATGCAAGACGCCGGGCACCCCCCCCTGGGGCGTACTAACCAGCGAGGGCAGCAACCGAGCTCCGAAGCTTTAAAAGCGCGGTTGTGATGAGGCCTCGGGCCACCTGCCCATGGATGACAGCTGGTCTGCACCCCGTCTTGGCCAGAACGCGAGCCTGGGGGGCAGTCTTGACAAAGTTCAAAATCTGCCCGGCCGCTTTTGACCTTTCTCGATGAAGCTCTGAATCACTGACGTCGCTCGCCTGGCCACGTGGCCATCGATGCCGAGATCCCTGACCTGGCTGGGGCACCTGAGGGGCGCTAGGCGAGGCGAAGGCGAAGGCCTGGGAGATCTATTTGGCGAGGCGAAGAGGGAAGGCGACGAGCGTAGATTTGCAGGAAGCTATGAAACCTGCTTTGTTGAGCCTGGTGGCCAGCGCACTTGCAACCGACTTCGCGCGAGCAACAACTTCGGCCCCCCCCAATCTCGGCGCGCCCCATGTCGCCCACCCACGTGGACATATCTAAGGGCCTGTAATCTGCGCGCATCGACTCTAAAGCTTGCCAGAGAGAGGGTTCAGCAAGATCCACGCTCTGATTGCAGCTGGCGATGAGGTGCCGACCACGGCAGATCAGTCTCGAAACAACTCCTTCGGCTCTGAAACTCCTTGGCACACGGTGGGGGGCCAAGCCAGCACTGGTAGGGGATTGCCGACCCCTTTGGCCACATTTGCCACCTGGAACAGCCTAACACGGCCACGAAACCAATCGACGCCCCAAAGAAACTCAGCCCTGGAAACGCTTGGGCCGCGGCCATCTCTAGCTCGCACTGGCGAGCGAGCGCAACTCGGAGCGAGGAGATGCCTGTCACCACTTTGTCCCAGTGCTGGCTTCGCTGGGAGCTCCAGTCGGCAACCCCCCACCTCCAGGCCCTCCCCCATTTCCGATATAATCCCCGTGGCAGGGCGATGGGCCGGTCGGCCACCTGACTCTCATGGATTAACCGGATTAGGTTGAGGAGGACTTGAGGTGGCCAAGTTCCAGCTTCCTCAATTCTCCAGAGCACGCTGAAAACGTATTCCAGACCTTCTTTGGGAAGCCTTCGCCACCAGCTTGGGTTCTGCTGATCAGCTCCGACTCCGACGACACCTTCGAAAGACTTGAGGGCGCTGCAAGGAGAGTTCCTCAAGAGGCGCTCTACTGGCCTCCAAAACCAAATCCTGCCACCAGCCCTCGGGACCTTTCAAACGTTTTAAATCACCAAAGAGACTCGCAAAACAACTGCCTTCTAGTCAATGGCTTCGATGGGAACCCGAGTGATGCTGCCGTCTGGAAGCTTCTCAGGAACGAGGGCAAGAGTTTCCTCGCCCCATGTCTAGGTCACGGCATGGAGGGCACCAGCGCTCTTGGACAATGACGTACAAATGCGCACAAGATGGAGCTGAATGTTCTTACCACTGCGACCGAGGTATTCCAGCTACCTTTTGCATCGTTCTAGCTGCTTAAATGTGGCGATGCGACTGACGAGCCGAAGGGCGCGCTCCTCTCTCATGAGAAAGCAGCCTGGGCAAAGACCAAAATTGTGCTGAGGCAAGATCCTGCAACGTGCCACACGTGCTCGATCTCCACGGGGTCCTTCAGCTTCCCTCGGAGGTGAAGCCAGTCTGCGACTCGTACATACAGGGCGGCCCATGCACTTAGACCACGGCATTCTGCCTGTCAGCCTACCGCCGTCGTGGGGACGATGGGAACATTTATGGTCTGGACTGCACAGTCTCGATGATCCCCGCTGCCGTCGACATCGGTCTCGACGTTGCGGTGGGCGCAAAAGTTCTACACCGTCTGTGCGACGGCCTTATACTGCTCAGCCAAGTCCATCCGTGGCCTCCCACTGCAACGCATGGCCGCTGTTTCATCATGTTCCAACGCTAACATCTTGGCCAAGCCGTTTTCGACCAACTGTTCAACTCTGACCGCGTGCCAATCCCGAGGCATATCTGGTCCTGGGATGGTCAGATCGATCGTGAGACACGGGCTAATGACCCGTTTGGGCACTGTGAACTCGCCTGTCCTCAGGCGCCGCCGCATGCCTGAGTGAGGGGCCCCCACCGGCCTTCTGAGCCCTACGATAAGTCCACCAAATTGTGCAATTCGTGACTGATAAAACAAAAATATATGAGCCGATGGTCACCAGGTACAGGGTCAGTAGGACCCTCCCAACCACCTCGCAGGAACACTTGAAGCCCCGACCGCTGCATCTCTGATATAGTACTATTCCAATCTCCAACCAACACGAAGGGCCGTCCTTGCATTTTCACGTAAAAGCCAGCCTCCTCAAGGATCTGAAGATTGGAGCCTGGGATGCCTATGTGCGGAGCCTCCTCCTCCTGCTCCTCCTCCTCCTCCTCCTCTTTCTCCTCTTCTTCCTCCTCCTCCACCGCCCACTCCTCATATGAAGGACGGGTGACAGGGACGCAAGACCCTTGGAGGACGAAGTCGGGATTTGCTTGGGCGGCGGGCGGCCAAAACTCCAATGGGAAACGGCAAGGGGCGGGCCGCAGAGGCAGGGGCACAAGGGTGCCCCAGCGAAGGCGCGCGTCCTTACTCTGCGCGCTGGCTGTAACTGCGCCGATCTTGGCCAGGCACATCCTGGGCACATGATCGGTGGAGGAGGAGGAGGAGGAGGAGGAGGAGGAGGAGGAGGAGGAGGGGGAGGAGGGGGAGGAGCACACGCCTTCCTCGCCAAGCCAGGTGAGCGACGATCAAAAAGACGAGTCTTGCGCGAGGTGACGTCGCAACCTCACGCAGTGACCTACGCGGGCCGCCGGCGCAGCACGCCGCAATGGAGACAGGGGCGCGCACGCGCGACCCTACGCGGCGAGCCTGCGCGCAACCTGCGCGCACATGTCGGCGAAGACGCCCCCTCTGTTCTGCGTCGCTCAGGTGGGTCTGGATTCTCCCAGATTGATCTGCTCTGCGGCCACAGAAGTACCAGCGCTGATGGTGACCCCAACCTCCCACGCGGGCAGCTTGCAGCAGAGGCCAGTCCACAAGAAGCCTCCCGCAAGAAACCCAACCCCGAGACACCCAGGACGCCCATGGATTCCTGGTGCGGGCACGTCGCGCTCTCCATCGCAAGACCGTCGAATCCCAGGAAACCCGGGGCACCCTGGGGGCAGGCAGGGCGTCTCTTGGCATGGGCCTCCACCGTACGCGCACATGCCGGCGAAGACGAACCCGCTTTCTCTGCGTCGCCACCGGGTGGGCGCGTGCACCGACGGGGAGCGGCAAGGGTGGGCACGGCCAGGACCGGCCGCGGGTGTACGGCGGAAGCCCTCCGGAGCGGGGGTGGCGCGAGGGGGGGGGAAGGGCCTTCCAAGGAGGTACGGTAAGGGCAGGACCCAAACGCTGCTTCGCCGGACTTCGGCTGTGTTCTGTTTCTCGTTTTGGCAGGGAGGTGCAGGAAAACGGGTAGAGCAAAACGAAAAGAAAACGCAAAACAATGTTCAGGTCCAGCCCTGAGGTACGGTAATTGCATTGGCTAAGGAACCCTCTCTGGCCCCAAGAAGCGCCTCCGTGCACGAGGAGGGCTAGAGTTCGGTCGCGCATGTCCCCCTACAGGCGGATTTTGGAAGAAATCTATAAAAAAACAGTCAAAAGATGTAGACAAATATTCCAAATAGGTTTTCTAACGACACCAGACTATTGTTCTACGATGCTTTCGGATACTCCTCCTGTAGAGGGACATGCCCGACGTAAGGCTAGAGAGGAACAGCCCTGGAAGGACCTGAGGAATATCGAACCCCCCCCGAGCCCAAACTGTCCCAGATTTCAGCGTCCTCACTGTCTTCGGGGAGACATACGACTCGTGTACGTGGGACTCGGGTTGGCTTGACGGGGCCATCATGAAAATGACGAGGCCCAATCGGAAACTCGACATGAGCTCCCGCTGCAAGCATCCCACGAGCATCGGACCGTCAAGATCCAGGACGCGCTCGTCCAATCACGCCGGCAAACCCGAGTTCCGGCATACTCGAGTCTTACGTTTCCCCGATGTATAGAAGAAGAACAGATGCACAAACATACACGTCGTTAACTTCTAATCGTGCTCATGTCTGACTGTGCTCATCTCTAATTGTTCTTGGCCCCCTAGTGGACAGGAAAAGGCCCAGGATAGAACAATTAGAAATGACAGGATCTTGGCCCAAAAAAAAATCAAAAAACGATTGAAGAATTAGAAATGAACCATGTGTACGTTTCCCCCATTTATAAAACAGATGCAGAAGCATAAACTTTTGGCGCTCCGCGCGGACTTTTTGGACCCGTGCTGGCCCCCCCCCCCTGGCGCGCGCGAGCGCGCGCCAGGGGCGCCGCCGGAGGCGCCGCCAGGGGCGCCCTGGCGCTCAAAGTTCATGTTTAGTTATGTCGTGTGCTCTTCTTCGACTGTAGGGTGGCTCGACTCCTGGAGGGGCCGGAGGCCGGGAGGCTTCCGAGAGGACTTTGCCAACGGCGGGGGAGCGCCCCAGCAGAAGCCCCCAGAGCGCTCCGAGCACGGTCCGTGGCCGCCGCCGCCACCACGTTACGAGGCTCTTCCCTCCTCTTCCCTCCTCCCTCCTCCCTCCTCCCTTCACCGTCCACCCTCCACCGCCCGCCCCATGTCCCAAGCTCGTGGCAGGGGTCATCAGCTCGTCGTTATCGTTGTCATCGTGGTCGCCGTCGTGGTCATCGTCGTCGTACTTCTGGGTCGGCGGCACCGGCCGTGAGGCCTTCACAGTAGAAGCTCCATGGCCTCTCAGAAAGCAACCCACCTCGCACCGTCCACAACAGCATTCACTCAAAACGGGCCCCCAGGCCCCACCGGGGGGGGCCCAAGAGGGCCCCCTGTCGCCAGACGATCGGCCCAGAACGCCTCCACGCCATCCGGACTGCACAGAAGGCCTCCAGGACGCCCCAAGAATAGGCCTCCTAGATGGAGTGGATTCGAGCAGATGGGGTCGGAGGATCGCGCCGCATCGCCGATACATCGGCGATGCATCGGCGATAGATCGGCGATGCAGCGGCAATGCATCGTTGACGTCGGCGATGCATTGGCGACGTCGACGTAAAGCAGATCGGGCCCCACATCGAGCCGCATCGGCGATGCAACAGCGATGCGACGCGATCCTCCGACCCCACCTACTCCCCTGACCCATCTAGGAGGCCTGGAAAGAAGCCTCCACGAAGGCCTTCGCAGCAGAAGCTGCGTGGCCTCTCAGAGGGAGGAGGAGGAGGAGGAGGAGGAGGAGGAGGAGGAGGAGGAGGAGGAGCAGCCCAACTCGCGCCACCAGCAGCGAGCAGCCGCTCCGAAACGGGCCCCTACAGGCAACCGCTCCAAAACGGGCCCCTGCAGAATCGGGCGGGGCGAAAGGGGGGATAGCAAAGATGGGATTGAGAATCAGCTCACCTAGCTGATTTTCCCGGCGCCTCCCAGCGCCGGGAGGCGCCCATGTATCGAGAAATGGGCCTGGCGGCGGGGCCGAAACCAGCTGCATGCAGCAGATTTCTTAACACCCCCTTTCCCTATCCCCCCCTTTGGTTCGACCCGACAGAAGCCCCCCACTCCTCGGGGCCCCTCCTGGCCGGTGCTGCGAGCCGCCACCGTCCGGCCGTGGCGGCGAGAGCCTCCCGGCAACCCTCCCAAAAAAACATAGAAAATTACTCACTGCGTGGAGCTCCCCATATGTGCATCCTTTTTAAGAGGTAATATTGGCTTGGGGATCTTAAAATGAGCGTCTAGCAACAGTGCATATCATATTGTAGGGTAGTGCTATAGTGAGCATGCCAACGGGGAGAGCAACTCGGGACACAACGCAAAAAGCAGGAAACAAGCAAACCGCTAGAAACATCTCCACAAAACGGCAACGAACGGAGCCGTGAAAGCACCCTTGGCCTTAGCTGAAACCAGCGCCCCGCCTGAGACATCCTCACAATCTGCTCTCCAAGCGAAGGATGTTGAGACAGAAAATAGGCAAACCGCTTGAGACATCCCCACAAACGGCCGCGAACGGGACCGTGTCATACCCCTTGGCGGCTCCCATTAGGAGTGCTGAAACCAGCGCCCCGCCAGAGACATCCTCACAATCTGCTCTGATAGCCAAGGATGTTGAGACAGAAAACAAGCAAATCACTAAATACATCCCCACAAAATTGCTGCGAACGGGACCGTGAAAACACCCCTGGCGGCTCCCCTTGGGGGTGCTGAAACCAGCGCCCAGCCTGAGACATCCTCAGAATCTGCTCTGATAGCCAAGGAGGCTGAGATAAAAAACAGGCAAACCGCCTGAGACATCCCAACGAAATTGCTGCGAACTGGACCGTGAAAACACCCCTGGCGGCTCCCCTTAGGAGTGCTGAAACCAGCGCCCCGCCTGAGACATCCTCACAATCTGCCGTGTGTTGAGTAGGTCAGACAATGAGAAGGTCTGAGTATGAGTAGGTCTGAGTAGGAGTAATTCTGTGTATGAGTACGTCTGGGAACGAGTCTGAGTATGAGGAAGTCTGGGTATGAGTGAGTCTCAGCATGAGTAAGTCCGAGTATGAGTCAGTCCGAGTATGACGAGGAGGAGGAGAAGAAGAAGATGAGGAAGGAGTAGGAGGCGTCCAAGTAAGAACAATAACCCCATCCTAGGATATGGGGAACATCAACGTCGAGGGGCATGTTGTTCCCATCGTACTTACCCAGAAGAGTATCGGAACAGTGTCGAACGAGTATCGCCTCCCAGGGCCCGACACGTTAAAACCCTCCAGTTTCGGTTCTTTCTTGGTGCTCGAAATTCTTCCTGGTGGTAAGGCGAAAGTAGGTTGGAACAGCAGAAGTCGAGGGATGGGATCAGCGGAAAGCCCAGGGGGGAAGCGAGCAGGGGCGGACCTTCTCGGAAGGCTCGGAAGTCGCCAGTGGCCTTCTGAGAAGGTTCCGGAGCCCTCCCCGAAGGCACGGATGACCTCCCAGAAGGCCGGAGCGCTTCTGAGAAGCCCCGCCGCCTTCTCAGAAGGCCTCCTTCTCCTTCTCACTCACCACCCTCGCTCGCCGCCGCTGGGAGGACGAGGGGCCCAGACATCCGACGTCGTGGCTTGGACCGCGCGGTGGCGCCCCCGGAGGCCTGGGCATCTCCCTCGGGGCTGGCCTCTCCTCCCGGGCCGTCTCCGATGGCCCCCGGGCACCGTGCGCGGGCCCCACGGCCGCAGAGCGCCAGACAGCCTCCGTCGAGCTTGCTTCACGACGCGAGGATGCCGAGGCGTGGAGCGGCGGAGGGGGAGGAGGAGGCGGACGACGGCGACGGCGGCGAAGGACCTGGGCGGCGGCGAGATCTCGACGGCCCACTTGCTCGGCTGCCTGCTCGGCAGTCACAAGCGACCCCTACCCCTGCAGGTGGGATTTCTGAAACGCCGGCTGGAGGTGCGAATTCGAAGGGCGTCTGCAGCCAAGTGGACCCCAGCGGGGGTGTCAGATACCCCAGCAACTGGGCCCGCAGGGGCATCGGGCACACACCGACATAGCTTAGGGATCCGTGAGTTTGGCCCCTGGGCGCCAGAATGGATCGGGGAGAGCACCCCCGAAACACGACGACAGTGCCGCTTGGTTCGGCGACGCGGCGCGTCGATGCTGCATGGAAACGGGGCCCGTCGCAGATCCACGCGCCTCGACCCAAGCTTGCGCTTCCTCGAGGGCCGAATTGGCGGCGCGCCCAGGGGGGGGAAAGCAGAGGGGGCGGGCCTTCTCCAAGGCTCAGAATGCCTCCGGCCTTCTGAGGATGTGTCCGAGATTTCTCCGAAGCCCCAGGGCAGATAAAGAAAAGACGCCACAAACAGAAACTTTTGGCGCTCCGCGCAGATTTCTTGGATCCGCGCCGGACCCCCCGCCCTGGCACGCTCCCTGCGCCAGGGGCGGCGCCAGAGGCGCCGCCGGGGGGGGGGGCACAGCACAGATCCAAGAAATGTGCACAGAGCGCGCGCGCCAAAAGTTTCTATTTACGGCGTTTTGTCTTCTTCGACAAAGGGCTCCCACAAGGCCAGGCGGCTCCTGAGAAGCCCCGTCACCTTCTGAGATGGCCTGGCCCCTCAAAGACACTCAGGTTGCCCCACAAGGGGGTCCAGCTGACAGGGGGTGGTGCAAGAAGTGCGGGGCAATTGTATTGCAAATGCATTGCGCCAGAGAACTGTGTCGCATTGCACTGTAACTAACGTAGATTGCACGCGAAAACCCAGCAATGCATTTGCGCGCTGGAACGTACTGTGCGCCCCGAACCTACTGCAACCCCACAGATCTATTGCGCGAAACTCGCTGCACCACCCCCTCGTCGCCGGGCTCCCTTTTGTCGGCGGTGGACAAGCCTCCCGTGAGTCAACCTCCCTCTAGTGAAACCGGCCTCGGACCGAAGCCGACGGACCTGGACCCGCAGACAGGACGGCCGCGACGCCCTCTCGCGAACCGGCAACGGCCAATCCGCTAGTCGACGCGTCCGGGCAGGAGGCCTCTCGACCTCCGACTCCTGGCTCGACCCGAACCCTCGCCGCCAGCGCTCGGGCCTCCATTCCGGGCCTCCGGCGGTCGCTCTCGGCACGGCCCCGGAGCGCGCGCCCCCGCGGAAAAGCAAACAAAAATCTCTCGGCGAGGCGCGGCCACGGGAGCGCACGTCCCGAGGGAGGAAGGGCCGCCGAGGACCCGGCGAGAGCAGACGCCCGAGCACCTCGAGCCGCGGGCACGGCGAGACTCCCGGGCTCCCCCCCTCGGCGCTCCTGGAGGCCGTGTTTGGGGATCGGCGATGGCCCGGGTTATCCGAAGGGCGGGGGAGGAGGGGGCTGGCCGACAGCCTAACCTTCGCGCTGTGGGCAGCCCTGCATATTTGCCCGCGCCCCCCCACTCCGGACCTGCGCAACCGGCAAGGTCAGGTTATCCTGGGGGGGGAGCGGGGCAAGCCCGATAACCCGGGCCACCGCCGGACCCTAAGAAAAATAGTCTCCAAGCGAACCCCTCGGCGTTCCTGGGGGGGCGCTCGAAAGAGGCAGTCGACCCGTATCACGAGGACGCACGGTGAGGACGCAAAAGCCCTGGAAGGCCGCGTCGAAGTCGTTCGAGCGGGGCGCGGCCGACGAGAGGGGCCAAGGATGGGCCGAGGAGACAGGGATGCCAGGGTGCCCTTGGGAAGGCTGCCCATCCTTACCATGCGGGTCGACTGCACACTAGCCAGAGAGCTCGGTGTGCAGATGCCCCAGCGTCCCAACCCGTGGGGCCCTGGAGCGCCTATTACGCCGAAATTCTACGCTGCGCTCCTTGGCTCCTTTGCCGACGGAACGACGGTGAGCATACATGGCGGGTTCCAAAAACCCTGACCCCCAAACTGTTGCCACCCCTTGAGGGGTTATGTTCTACTTCCGCCGGCAACATCCTGCTTCCGCCGGCGATGACGGCCTCGCTTTACCCTCGCCGGCTTCCGCCGCCCTTCCGCCGCCTTCCGCCGAGGAAGCGATGACAACTATCGGCCCTCGCAGGCGAGGCCGTTTTTGGAACGCCTCACATCCCAGCCCCACGACGTCATGAGTTCTTCATAACGGACCCTGGAGGTCTCGAACCATTCCCTGGGGCAGGCTTCGCATCCTGAGTCGTTTTCTGACGGCCCCGAGGGGCGGCAAGGGCCCCCAGTCCCTCCAAGCGCCGCCAATCGAGGAGCACCCCGGATTCCATAGTGAAGTGGAGGGGGTCACATTTGGGGGGGTCTGATCGGAGCTGTCTTGCAGGGTTCCACTTCCACTGGGGTCTGGGCAAGAGGCCGCCCTTTCGTGGCCTTGTTTTTTTTTGGGGGGGGGGGGAGGGGGGGTTCTAGAGCTGCTCGTCTGGGAGGGTTGTGACCCCCTCCCTGCTCTGACGACCTCTGGGGCAGCATCGAGCCCCTGCGAGCGCCGATCGATCAAGGGGGCCGGGCTCGCAGCTGCTCCCCTCGGCCGCCTGCTCCCCCGCCGGCTCGGCGGGAGGCTCGACGGCATGCTCGGCGGCCACTGCGGCAGCGGCCCGAGGTCGTCGATCTCGAGCCCTCCCGAGGCATCGGGGGGGCGCCTGGAGGGGCGGCCAAAAGGCAGCGGCCGTGGACGCCCAGGGACGAAGGGGGAGGAAGGGAGGGAGGGAGGGGAAGGGGAAGGAAGGGAGGGAGAGGAGAGGAGAGGGAAGGAGAAGGGAGGGAGAGGAGAGGGAGGGGGGCGGGAGGGAGGGAGGGGAAGGAGGGGAGGGAGAGGGAGAGGAGAGGGGAGGAGGAGGGAGGAGGAGGGGCTCGTGCCGTCAGGGAGATCTGCCGAGCAGCGCTCACGAGGCCGGGCCTCAAGGGCTGTGAGGAGACGGCGTCGCGGAAGCCGGATGCGAGCTGGCAGAAGACGCTGGACGCGCCCCCCCCCCGTCAATGCAGCCACGTGGAAAGAAAGAACACTCGGACGCGTGTCTGCGCGCGCTGCAGCGCCTGGAAATCGGCCAGCAGTGCGTGCTCCTCGTGCAGCGGAAGGTCGGCGGTCCAAAGCTTGAGCTCGAGAGTTGCAATCCTCTGGGCGATATCCTCCTTCCTCATGTGCTCGGGGAACGGTGTGGTGGTCATCTGGCTGGTCGTGTCGCTCACCCCATCTGCTTTCATGCGGGTGCCTGGGTCGTAGACCTTGTTCATCACCGTCAGCAGGTTGGCGGGCTCGATGCGCTTGAATTCAGGTTCTGACACAAGCTCAACGCCGAGACGGTCGTTCGCGAAACCGACGACCGGACCAGACCAGTCTTGTTATTCATAGCGTACGTTTCGAGGTGGCTCGGCATAATCGCAATACATACCTCGATCTGCACACCCTCCGAGTCCAGCCAGCAATCTGCGGCGGACGGCTCGGCCTGTTTCTCCTGGAGCTTCTCGGCACTGGTCTGCATCACGGAGGTGACGTCCACCACGTCGGATGTCGCCTCAGGAATGTTGGCTATCGCGTTGGTCTGCATCTTGATGGAAGCGTCCTGGACGTCGTATTCCTCGCAGCTAGTCTCGGGTGCCTGCGTGTCCACAGCAGCGAGCGCCCCACAGTCGAGCATGATCTTCGCCACCCCGTCAACGATAGACTGGGCCAGGGAGGAGCGCAGCTGGTTCACCTGGTAGTCGATCTCCTTCGGGTGGTGGGGCTGCCGCTTCCCGATGATCAGCTCAATCAAGATGCAGAGGGTCGAAGCGAGCTGACGGTACGCCCCAATTGAGAGATGCGGGACTCCACGGGTGCAATCATGGTGCGCAGGTCTGATACGGGTGCGGCAGCTTTGAAGGTCAGGGCAGGAGGAAGAGGAGGAGGAGTCGAGCGTGCCAGGTAGGAAGAGGAGGAGGAGGAGGAGGAGGAAAGGAGGGAGGAGGAGGAGAAATAGGAGGAGAAAGAGGAGGAGAAGGAGGAGCAGGAGGAGGACCAGTGCAAACCCAAGACTCATCAACGATATTGGAATAAGCCCTCCCTCCAAGCTCCCTCCCCATAGGCCCCATACAAGGATTCACCTCCACTGAGGGAAGTGCCTCGTTGGGAGACAACCCGTTTGGAAGATCCTGAAGCGTGCCAGCATAACATGTTCGGAACTTCAACGTCACGAATCAACCTGACTGTTGCGTCCTGACGATCCTGATTCGCGCCAGAGGACCCACCATTCCTGGGACTTCAACACCCCGAATCAACGTAACTGTTGCGCCCTGGTAGTCCTGAACAAAACACCATCCCTGGTTACGCTAACCGTGGGAATCCGTGAAACTCGTCCAACTGTTAAGAAAGAATGCGCACGGCGCTGATTGAAAAAACGCCCTCAACCCGTGAAACTCTTGCAACTGGTTCAAACGAATGTGCGCGGCGCTGAAGCGAGAACCACAGTTTGAAAACCATCCGCCCTCAATCCACGAAGCTGTAGTACATTTCAAGCTTCAGGAGTATCTATGGTGAGGAGGTCTCGAGCGAAACGCCTGACCCGCCCTTCGACCGACCTCGGGGCGCGACAGGGAAGAGTTTGTCACAAGGAAAAAAGGAAGAGGACGACGAAGAGGAAGACGAGGGAGGAAGGAGGCGGGCTACGGAGCAGCCGAAGCATCAGCTGGCGGTCCTCAGATAGGGGCGGAGGAACGATGAAGGGAGGAGGAGGGCGGAGGGTGGAGGGAGGAGGGAGGAGGCAAGACGGAGGAAAAAGTACAGAGAAATGAGGAGGGAGGAGGGAGGAGGGGGGAGGGAGGAGGGAGGGAGGGAGGAGGGAAGGGTGAGGAAGGAGGGAGGGAGGGGCGAGGCGGAGGAGGGGGAGGAGGGAGGAGGAGGAGGAGGAGGAGGAGGGGAGGAGGAGGAGGAGGAGGAGGAAGAGGAGGAGGAGGAGGAGAAGGAGGGGAAACGGGAAGAAATCATGCCACCCCACGTGTCACCAGGGGCGACCGGGCCTGCGAGGGCAAGTCGGACCCTGGACGGGCCCGCGGAACTCGTGACAGCGCCAGCGCTTTTCTGTCCACCAAACACACCCTCCTAGCCCGCCAGGAACCCCACCGCGAGACACCTGGGCGTCGCAGAAGTAGCGGGCGAGTGGCCATGGGGGGCGACCTCCACGGGGGGTGAAGAGAAGGGCGCAAGGGCCCCGTTTGGAGACAGCGGGGGCCCGAAAGGGCCCCTTTGGGGCCCTTCCACTATGTATGTCGCCCCCCCTCACCACCAGCCCGAAAGTATCGGCGCTGGCTGTCAGCTCATGAAGGAGGAGAAGGAGGAGGAGGAGGAGGAGAGGGAGGAGGAGGAGGAAGAGGAGGAGGCTTACCGCCCGCCCGAGAGCATCGGTGCTGGCTGTCAGCTCGTGATCGCTGGAGCTCCAGCTGACTCCCGACGCTCCTCTGCCTCCGACGGCCCTGGGCCATGTTCTCGCAGGGCCCCTTTGGGCCCTGTGGCGGACCTCCGCGGGGCCGCGGCGGGGAAGGACTGGCCGCCGCGACCCGCTCCGGGACGCCTGGTGCTTGAGGGTGTGCGGAGGGCGCGGGACAGAGGAAACATCACTCGACGCGGAGGCCCCCAGACATGCACCTCATACTCCTGTCACGTTTCGCTGAGGAACGCAATCTATGAGCATCTGGGTGTGGGAGCGAGTCCGCGTAGACGACAGGCGCGACGACAGCGACGACTTCGGTGGTGTCCTCCTCCTCCTCCTCCTCCTCCTCCCTCCTCCTCCTCCTCCTCCTCCTCGTCCTCATCCTCCCTTTCTGGACATCATTCAGGAGAGACAAAGGAAACACAAGTGGATGACGGGAGGCGGAGGATAGAAGAGGAAACCAAAATTAATAAACATTAACTTTGGAGTGTCCTCGCGGACCTCCGAGAAATTACATCTCTTTATGCCGCTGCTCGTCCTTCGAGGGGAAGGAGGGGAGGAGGGGAGGGCGAGCGAGAGAGGAGTTGTTCGTTCGCCGCGGGGCTCAGGACCAGGGGCGCTCTGTCTTCCGGGCCTCATGAGACCCAAAGCAGAAATCAAAACAACGTGAAGACAAGAAGCCAAGCTCAAGACTACGATAATATTACAGGAAGAAGAGTCAGCTTCCATGTCCTGCTCGAAAAGGTCGCGCACCAGGAGGCGGCCACCAGGGAGGGGGAGGAGGAGGGGAGGGAGGGAGGGAGGGGAGGGGAGGGGAGGAGGGAAGGGAGGCCGAGAGTTGCCGAAAACTTCCCGCCATGAGTTCTGCCGCGGCGCGAGAATGTCAGGGAGCGCGTGGGCCCCGCGGTGCCAGATGCTCTGAGGAGGAAGGAACCTTGGGGAGGGGACCGGCTCGGATGGGGAGAGGAGAGGAGAGGAGAGGAGAGGAGAGGAGAGGAGAGGAGAGGCGGGGAGAGGAGAGGAGAGGAGAGGAGAGGAGAGGAGAGGGGAGGGCTCCCCGATGGAGCCCCGCGGCCAACACCCTCTGGAGCCCGATGAGAGGGGGGGGGGGGAACATCGAGCTGGAACCGGCGTGACATCGCCGAGAGGGCGGCGACTGGCCCCCGGCCGCGAAACCGCGCGCTCCTGAGCGGGGTGGGCGGTCGGGCCACCATCGGCGAGCAGTGGGCGATCGGGGGTCGATGCGTCCTCCCCTGAGTCGATCCCCCCCACTGACGTTGCCCTTGGCTCTCGGGTCGTAGCTCGGCTCTCTGGCGGCCGTCCAGAACGGCCAAGGCAGCCGCTAGAAGGCGTCCCGATGCTGGAAAGCCGCCGAGGACCGACGAGAACTCCTCCGAACCTCGAACTCCGAACCTCGAGCACATCCCCCCCCCCAAACGTTGCCCCTGATGTGTGAAGGCCCCTCAGCAATGGCTGCTCTCGCATCTTGGGACCATCTCGGGCTCTCTTAGTGCCGTCTTGGCCGTCCAGGATAGAAGAAGGAAAACGGCATTAACACAAACCTTTGGCGCTTCACGCGGAGTTCTTGGATCCGCACCAGAAACCCCCCTCCCCAGCACGCGGAGCGCGCCAGGGGCGGCGCCAGAGGCAACCTCCGGGGGGCCCCGGCGTGGATCCAAGAAATCCGCGCGGGCCAACACTCCCACCAGCCCTCTGGGCGCAGGTGGTCTAGAGCGTTTCCTTTTCTACCCTCCTTCCTTTCCCTGCTCGGGAGGTTTACCTCCCCCCCCCTCCCTGGGTCTGGACGGGCTCCCCCGCGAGGGGTCAGAGAGTCCAAAATGGGCCAAGATAGCTTCAAGAGGGCTTTGGCTAGCCCAAGATGGCCTCCAAGATCGCCCAATATACCTCAAGACGGCTCAAGATAGCTTCCAACAGACATCCAGGAGGCCTCAAGACGGCCCCAAGACGGTTTCAAGTGCCCTCCGAACACTCCAGGGGCCCCCCCAAGAGGCCAAAATGGGTTCACAACCGAAGGAACATCAATGCATCTTTGGCCCCAAGATGGCCCAACATAGCCCCAAGAGAGGCCCAAGGGGGCTTCAAGACGGCCTCAACAGCGCCCAAGAGCGCCCCGACAGCGGCCCAAGAGGGTCCCAAAACGCCTCTCTTGGGCCTCCGAGGAGGGGCCTCAATTTACGACACCCCTCTTTTTGAGCGAAGGGGTCCAAGACGGCCCC